CTCTTGATGTTCTTGAAGGCTCCCTAAGTAGCTCGCCCCCTCCTGCTCACTCTGGTGCTAAGTCGTTCATCGTGTTGATTTCACGACCCAGGTACACATAGCTAGAGCATTCAGAGATGGGATGAGGGATGAGCTACATTATCCTTTGTTCATTCCTTAGAGATGGATAAATGCGAGACGCTCTTTGTGAGTCGACTACAAACTCGTGAAACAGTAAATTGGATGGTTTCCGTGCAGATTGCTCTGCTTGAAAACAAAAACACTTGAATGTAATCTTTTAATTTCTCTGCATAGAACACTAGGCAATGTAGTCTTATGACTTGATTTTGTATTCCAATATAAATTGTTGCTGGCCGGCTCTGTTGAACATGATTATGGGCACGCGATTTGAGGCCGAAACAAGCACTGCGTCGCGATAGGTTGGTGAGCAGAATCTGCAAAAGAAATCACTGAGTGGTAGGCAAACTGTATTTTCGACCGCCAATTTACCGGTATCCAGTTCGAGTTTGATCGTCAGTGGTCTTGATTTCCACGCCTCCTAGAATGCAGCCGTCATGAGCGTAGCCGTGTGAAATAGATTTGACCGTAATTTCAATCTTCTTTCCTTCATCAGCCTGGAAAAGTCAGATCCAACTCATGAACATGTTGCAACTGCCTTTCATCGCATACCTCAATCCAGTAGTTGCAGAACTCGAACTCGTCCCTTACACCACCAAAACCAAGTCTTTTGACGATGATCTGCTTGCGCTCTGTCGCTTTCAATGTGTCTCCGCATCCAGGCGGCTACAAAACTCGGCATTACTGAAGGGTTCCTTCTAACGCTCTCTTAGCTTACTCGCTTGTCGCAAAGAGTGCCACCATAGCCGCTTGGACAAATACATTCAGAGCACTTTCGTGGATGAGGGAATCCTCCATTTTGACACTTCGCTGAGGTCGCATTCGGGCACATTTGCTGAACAGAAAAGTGGTCTAGCCCCTAGTAGACTTGCACGGCTCTCCTACCTTTGCAATTGTAGTGATCGTTTATCATAGACTTATCAATGAATGAAATGATCTGCGAGCCCATCGACTCCTGGTACCTTGTATCATTGGCTACCATTGTGGGTTTCTTGTTGTGAGAGGCGCTGAATCATCGGGTATTGTGTCACCCTAGTTCACAGAATGCTGTGATTTATATTCACCTGGCTGCTCCGTAATGCATAATGCTACCATAATCATAGGTAAATCCATAGTTGGTAGTGGTTTCATTTGTCTCTTTCACGTATTGATCTACGAAACCTTCCTGGAAGACGGTAGAATTTTCTTGTGTGTCTTATTGTAGAGTGTGTATATGTGACTTACCACAACATTATCAAGAACGACTGTAATAAATTCATCACGATCGTATCGTGACATGGTGTGGAAGAGCCCAAGCGCGTGACCGAGTTCATGTGTAGCGATTCCAACCTTAATTTTGTGCTGCGGTAAGCGGAGAGCGATTGTTACGTGAGAATTCATGTCAGTTCCACAAGTTTCTCGAGTGAACTTCACAAACGTATCCACCTCTTACCTGATCACAGCCGTCACCAAGTGAGAGAGGTTGCTCACCACCAACCCGTCCTACATACGACCAGCAACCATCTTCCTTGAT